CTCTTACTTCACTGAATTAACACTACCATAAGCTTGTTTATATTCTCACTCTCCACAGTCTTACTAGTATACAAAGTCAATCAAGAGGTCTTTGTTAAGGTTGTAACGTGGCTTAGGTAAAAGGAAAGGAATCATCTGGGTAAGTGGCTTAAGATAACTGATCAAAATTCAACTTCAAAGAGGAACTAGTTTAACTGTTCAACATATAGTAAACAGATTTCTCTTATTTTCCTCCTCTTTTCTTCTTCCACTTATTCATATAATATAAGTCTTTTATTTCTTTTCCTTCTTCCTTTTGTTTTTCTTTTTCTGTTTTTGTACAGATAAACAGTTCAACCTTTTTCTTTTCATTTCCTTTTTCCACCACTTTGTGGCAATTTCCCTCTTTTCACCTTTTTCTCCCATACACTTAGAGTTTGATTTTCTCTTTTTGTTTCAATCCTATCCAGTTCCTCATTTAATTTTGAAAATTAATCAGTTCAGGTGAGGATGTGTATGGAATGGCTATTCATAATGTACTGTCAATGAACAAACAGGCCTCGGCTCAAAAGGGCTTAATCTAAGAATAAACCTTCAGGGTGGCTATTTGGCTATCTAGCTTTTAAAAAGAACTGCCTCTATCATTTCAACAATTGTATACTACAGACCATTTCAAAGAGAAACAAAACAAGTTCTAGAGTGATTCAACAGTAAAGTTCACACCACAAAAAAAATTCTGTTTAGGCTCAAAAGCTTACGGCTAAGGATGTGAGACTTATTTTTCCACTCTCTCTTTGATTACTCTAGTTATTCTTCTCTTATTCCAGTGAACTATGAAGCATGCTTGACTGACGCTCATTTATGTACGAAAATAAAATTTATTTACATCATTATACTCTTGATATCAACTATCAACCAATTTCATGTAATTATTCATTATGCATCCATATCAAGCACAATGGAAAATCTCTTAAGATCCACTAATTATTTATTGACTAAGATAGAAGGGGTCTTAAGAATAATTTAAAAAAAAAACTTAAATATTAAACTAACTAATATATATGAAGACCTTAAAATAAACTAATATGTAATCAAAATAATTCTAAAATAAACTAATACTAAATAATATAAAAATAATGAACTATAATATGAAAATAATATTAAGAAACTCCCCTGAAAAACTGCATTTGTAATTTGGATATTTCTGTGTACTCCGTGTAATCATGAGTTTCTCCTTCCGACCATGTGAAGTTTATGGTCTGATAAATTGCGTGGGTACCCATTCCCAGATTTAAATCTTGCTGTCCTCAGCAATAAATTTAAATCTAAAAAGAATCCTAAGCAAGATATCAGAAAAAAATGATACTGTACTCTGCACACATGTCACAGATAAAGAAACTACGTCAGCATGTCATATATCCAAAAAAAAATCAGTCATGTCAGGATCAGTCTCAATATACATCTCATGTCAACATGCACTAAAATCAACAAAAGAAAAAAAATCTAAACATTGAGACAATGGTCAATCCTCATCAATTTCAGTAGTGGGTGCAATATCATTTCTATCAGCATCCTGAGTAGTGTCTGCAACCATATCAGCATTAGTATTCGAGTATCCAGCATGTTTGCAAAGTTAGTGCAATTTCCACATAACAATTCCCAGATTTATATTCAGATGCATCTGAAAATAATAATGAGTATATGGAACTGAAATACTTTAACAGTATGCATAATGTCAAAGATGAGCGCGCTTAAGCGCAGTGATTCGAGCTTAAGCGCGCTGAGGCAGTGAGAAATGGATAAAAATTTATTTAGCGCGCTTAAGCTTCCTCTCTCGCGCTTAAGCGCGGAGAGGCAGTGGGTTATGGTCACTTTTATTGTTTATCGCGCTTAAGCTTCCCCTTGGGGGCTTAAGCGCGCTCTTCGTATGGGTTTTTTCAATCGTGGAGCGCGCTTAAGCGCGATTTGGAGAGCTTAAGCGCGCTAGGGCCGAGAGAAATTTCACTTTTGGGGGCTTAAGCCTCCTTTAAGGGCTTAAGCTCTCAATACTTAAAAAAAATTTTCTCCATATTTTCCTATTCCTTGCATTCATCTCTACTGTGTATTCTTCCACCTCAATAATTCTGCTCAGTATCATACACAAAACATATAAATGAATAAGAGTTGCGTACCTGTGTATGCTTTAATCCCACTTACACCTGAAAGTCCATCTCAACAGAATTTGATCATTAACCTCAATGTTTTTATTTTTTTTGATTTTTATGATATGACTAAAATAAACTATGCTAAGAATAATTAAAATAAGCTAAACTAAAATTAAATTACTAAATACTAAAATGTTGGAAAATAAAAATATAGTTGGGTTGCCTCCCACAAGCGCTTGTTTTACGTCACGAGCCTGACGTACCTCTTTTACGTTCATGGTGGCTCAAAGCATGGGCTTGGTGATGACCAAGCTCCATCATTCAGAAATGGTGTCCTCCCATAGTACTCTTGTGCATATGAGTGAGATGCAGTAGGCTCAATAGCTTTGAATTTGGTGTTTACGTGCTTTCCCTTGCTCCTGAGCTTCTCCATTTTAACCTTTGGCTTACTTTCTTGAGAAGAATTCTCTTTGTGCTCTTCTTCTCCTTTCTTTTCACTAATATAGTAGACTTGATCTTGCGGTTGAATTATAGGTGAAGGGACTTCTTTATCAAAGAACTTGAAAATTGCTTGCTCCCCGTCTACCCGTAAGATCAACTCGCCTTTCGGTACATCAATCAGCGCTCCTAAGGTTGCCAAGAAAGGTCTTCCGAAGATCATAGGAATAGTAGAATTTTCCACTATATCAAGGATGACAAAATCAACAGGAATGATGAATTTGTCAACCTTTACCAGTATGTCCTCAATAATGCCATAAGCTTGCTTTGTAGAGAGGTCAGCCAGTTGCACTATTGTCTTGGTTGGCTTTACTTCAGTGATCCCCAGTTTCTTCAACATAAATAGTGGCATCACGTTGATGCTGGCACTGAGATCACATAGAACATTTTTCACTTCCATATTGCCTATGTTGCATGGAATGCTGAATCTTCCTGGATCTTTAAGCTTTGGAGGCAACTTTTTCTGTATAATGGCACTGCATTCCTCTGTCAGCGTCACCGTCTCACATTCTTGTAGCTTACGCTTTCGTGATAGAAGATCTTTCATGAACTTTGCGTAATTGGGCATGTTCTCCAAGGCTTCAGTAAACGGGATATTGATTTGCAGCTTCTTGAAAATGTCAAGGAACTTGGAATACTGCTGCTTTTTGATTTCCTCTCTGAACCTCTGCGGATATGGAATCTTTGCATAAGGTGAGAGCTCCAATGGCTTTTCTTGCCTTTCTTGAGCTTTCTTTTTCTCCCATTTGAACTCTTTCTTTTCAGGAACAGTTTTCTCTGCAGCAAATTCTTTGGCAACTTCCTTTTCTTTTTCCTTTTCAGTTGCAAGTTCATCATCTTTCTTTTTCTCAACTGAAGGCTTTACCACAGGTTCAATGGCTTTCTCACTCATAGTAGTAATCGCATTGCAGTGTTCCCTACTTGGATTTGGAATAGTGTTACCTGGAAAAGTTCCTTGAACTCTTTCAGTGAACTACTTTGATAGCTGGCCAATCTGAGTTTCAAGATTCCGGATAGAAGCTTCTTGATTCCGGAATGAGGCCCTTGTCTCTTGCATAAAGGTTGAAGTGTCCTCTCTGAAATTATTGAAACTTTGAATGTAGTCTGATGTGGTCTTGGATAGTTGTGCAAAGGCCTTTTCCCATTCTGATTGTTGTGGAGGTTGTTGTTGCACTGGCATAGGAGGATTCAGCTGATGGTTCGAACTGTAACTAAATCCTGGGTGTTGATTTTGATTTTTATTTCTCCACCCTTGATTCTGATTATTGCCGTATTGGTTCCTCCCTGGATTATATGGAGCTTTTTGATCATGCCAAATTCCATTAACATCTGCAGTTTCGGGTGCCTGGAAGTCTTCAGTAGCATGAGTACCTGCACAAATATCACAAATGATAGCAGGAGTATTAACAGAAGAAACTTGAAATTCAGAAAATTGTTTTGCGAGAGCATCTAGCTGTTGTTGCTGTTTCTTATTGGATTGTAAAATCTGCTCATTCTGAGCCAAGATGGCATCACAACCATGAAGCTTCATTATCCCCGCTCTTCTCTGTGGTACTGGAGCATTATCGTACTCTTGAGAGGCTAGAGATTCTAGCAATTCTAAAGCTTCCTCTGGAGTTTTTGTTTTTAAGGACCCTCCTGATGCAGCATTCACCAATGTCCTTGGAAGAAAGTTCTCGCTTGTTCCCATGCTTCAATGCCATGTTGGGGACACTTCCTGAGTAGTCCTTTGAATCTTTCTCATGCTTCATATAGAGATTCACTTCCTTTTTGTTCAAAAGAAGTGATATCCGCCTTGAGCTTTGCCATTTTCGAAGATGAGAAAAATTTGTCCAAAAATTTGGTTGCCAAGTCGTCCCAGTGAGTGATGCTTCCTTGAGGTAACGATTGCAACCATCCTCTTGCTTCATCTTTAAGTGAACATGTGAACAACCTGAGCAAAATAGCATCCCGAGACACCCCATTCATCTTAAAGGTATCACAATATAGCAAGAAGTTTTCCAGATGGATGTAAGGGTCTTCCGTGCTTCCTCCGGCAAATTGGTCTTTCTGAATTAATTGTAAAAGTGCCGGCTTGAGTTCGAAGTTGTTAGCATCCACGTTTGGTCTAACAATACTCGCAGTCTGTGGAACTCGAGCAGGAGTCATGTAACGTTCTCGGAGGTGGTGGAGGTGCATTGTTGTCTCCCATTGCTTCTTCTCTTGGTTCTGTTGAGATTGAAGCTTCTTTCTCTTGCTGTCTTCTTTCTTTAGCAAGTTTTCTGTTTCTTTTTGCTGTTTTCTCTATCTCCGGTTCGAATTGCAAGGAATCGGTGTCAACGGTACCTCGCATAAACCAGAAAAATAGATTATATAAAAATAAGAAAATAAAACTGAATTTAAATAACAGAAAATTAAATAACAGAAAATAAGGTCCAATCTAAAGAATTAATAGCTACTATTAATGTTGAAACAGTAATCCCCGAAAACGGCGCCAAAAACTTGTTGCTACTCACGGCAAGTGCACCGATCGTACAAGTAATATAATGATTAAGTAAGAGATCGTTCCCACGAGGATTACGGTTCAAGCACCAATTCACTATCGCAACTTAAGTTGGACAATCAAAAGTGTATTTGGAAACAGGATTTGGATTGTAAAATTGAAGTTATTAAATATTAAAGCTAACTACTCGCAAGAATTAAAAACAAGAAATTAAGGATTTGAATAAGTTGATAAAATAAAAACGTAGCTAGGGGTTCAATTTCATTTAATCTCCTTATTACGTTTGAATTCCTTCTTAATGTTAATTGTCCTTAGTATCAATCTAATCAATTCTTTCGCATGTTATTAGAGCTCAATCCCTTGTTACTCTAAAACCTTTACAAAATTGGAAGAACCCCAGTTCCCCGGTTATTCCCCAAGCATGCAAGCATTAAATTCAAGAATCTTAAAGATTACGCAAACCCTATGTCTATCCCTAGAATCATAACGTTTACGATGAAGTTATCAGATATGGATCACACACCAACATTCCTATTGTCATGCATTCACCGATGATCATTATATAAGATTCAAGCCTATATAAAGCATTAAAAACAGATAACTTCATTCATGATATAAAGGAAAATTAACACAGCGAATTGTTCAAAACATAATAAATCGACTAAACTCCATCTAACCCTAACTACTTAAAGAACTAGCTGGACATGGCAAAATCAAGAACAAAAGAAAATAGAAAAGCTCCCCCAAACTCTATAAGTGATTGGTGGATCTTCAATATCTCCAGTGAACACTTGACGTTGATCCGTCTCCGCCGCTCACGAACATGAATCTGATGTTCCTCCGCGTTCCTTCAGCCTCCGAGCACCCAAGAGTCGTTTAGCAATGTAAAAGTTATGTATTTATGGTCTCCAATGGTCCTTTTATTGGCCAAGAGTTCGTATCCCAATATAACACATTGAATGGGCCTAAGTTGGATATGACTAGGCGCTTAAGCTTGTTGTAGCGCGCTTAAGCGCCCTAGGACGGTGATTTCTGAATCGCGTTTCGCGCTGAAGCGCTCTGGAGGGCGCTTAAGCGCGCTCCTTGCGACAACATCTTCTTCTTGTGGCGTGCTTAAGCCCTGAGTTGGGGGCTTAAGCGCCCAGAGGCAGTAGCTATTTGCGTTTTTAGGGAGCTTAAGCTTCTGAATGAGGGCTTAAGCTCCCACTTCTAACAACTTGATAAGATCTTCAATCTTATTGTTTTCACCTTGATTCATCTTCTTTTCTGATTTGATCTCTCTTTATCTAAATCTTCATATTTGAATCATTTGTTATCAAATTCCTTTAAAAATAACAAATATATTAATTAGTTCCAACAATCAGATAATGTTCATGATTATCATTTTAAAACCCTGAATTTTGACTTGTTCAACTAGATAATTCATATTATTTTAGTCCATTAAACAAGATAAACTAAAGGTTTATCAGTTGACTTCCCTCGTATTTTCATAAGCTTTGACTCTTTGAGCCAGCTACGAGATTAATCCGAATTGCGACTCGGGAAGTCAAACTGACTTTTTAAAAAATCCATCTTGCGGTTCAAGGTGAAAGTGAATTAAGAATGAATAATATTAAGCACACATTCATAAGCACATCGCATTGTACAATATTTATATAATTTCTTATTTAATTAAATATTTGAGTATTCAATCCACGTTATTTGGATTGGCTTCGGAGTTTGTCTTAAGGAGTGTACCTGCAAAGGATTTGAAAGTACTTTGCCTTTGAAAGTACTTCGATGCTAAAATTAATGAGTCATTCAACGAGGAGGACAATGCCAATAGTGAGAGATAGTCCCCTATTCGAGTACATTTTCGATATATCAGATTTCCTATTCCTTTGTCAAAATGAAAAAACTATGGGATATAAATGAAAATAATTATAAAAGTAAAGATAGAGTAAAAATATTACTTTTTACTATATTTAATAGAGCATCAAAATATTTTTCTCCTGTTCAAAGAAGAAGAGATCCATGAAATTTGTACGTGTGAAACCATCCCAAAGGATGAGACAGGCACAGAGCGGAAAAGAATTAACTAGTTATGAAAACATCGATGTGGTGATTGGTCGGGTGCAGCGAAAGGCCAAATCGAAATGCTTGTGATAGAACATTTTGGTGATAGATTACTTAACTCACTTGCTGGCTGTAAAAAAACTGATTCAGTTGTTTTGTCATTGATCTTGATTTGACCTTAATCTGATTCGTAAATATTTTTTTTTGAACTGGGTTTAAATACGAACCCACTTTTATTTGGGTTAGTTTTATACCTGCCTTGTTTTAATAATGACCCATTGATCCAACTTGACCCACACCCATTATGTGAAAAAAAAAAGAAAATCCCAATTATGTTAAAAAAAAAAAATTCAGTAAAACAATTACGTCAAATTTTTTTACGATTTTTCACAAAATTTTTTGACGAAAATGTTTTTCATCAAAATTTGTGACTAAAAACATTTCTGTAAAAAAAATTGACGGAAATTTTTTTTTGTCACATTTGTTTACGTAATCTAAATTTCGTCAAAATATTTTACAAAAAAACATATTCATCAAAAATTTCGACGAAACATATTTCCATCGAAATTTTTTGATGGAAAAAAATTTCATAATTCAAATTTCGCGAAATTTTTCGACGGAAACATTTTCGTTAAACTTTTTGACAAAAAAATTTTAGTCGAAATTTTTAGCAAAACACATTTCTATCGAAATTTTGTGACTAAATATTTTCCTCAAGTTTTTTGATAAAAAACATTTTCATCAAAATTTTCAACGGAACACATTTTTGTCAAAAATTTTCTTAAAAAGTTTCGACCAAATATTTCGATAAAAAATTTTGACGGAAAAAATATTTTGTCAAAATTCTTTAGAGAATCTAAATTTCGTCGAAGTTTCTAATGAAACATTTTAGTCGAAATTTTCCTCAGAACACATTCCCATCGAAATTTTGAACGAAAAATATTCCATCAAAATTTTTGACGGAATTCTTTTTTCATTTAAAACATTTGATGGTGGAAATCATTTTTGTCAAAACTTTTGAGGGAAACTAAATTTTGTCGAAAATTTATTTTTATAAAAATTTTCATTAGAGAAAAAATTTCGTTGCTTTTCGACAAAAAGTATTCTTACGAAAAAATAATTTTATGACAAAATTTTCGTTGTTTGCAACGTACACTACTAAAAAAAAACAGGTATTAGGGACAGAAAAAATTCGTCCCTACAAGGCATAAATCCGTCCCTAAATATATTAGAGACGGAATTTGAAACGAAAAAATTTTCGTCCCTAAATCGCTCCTCGCTAATGTTTTGGGATGGAACTTTAATTCCGTCTCTATTAGAGACGGAATAAAATCCGTCTCTAATATGTATTTTTCGTCCCTAATATTGTCAATAATTTTGATTTGTAAAAGACTAGATTAACCACCCATAAGATATTTCTCCCCAAATAAATCACATATTGTTGCTTTTTTTTTTATATAGATATATCCAATGTACATATATAATGTAGCAATAACATTTAAATACAATTTTAGTCCCTAAATTTTTCCAATTTGGGACAAATTATTTTTTGTTTTTCTTTTCTATTAGGGACGGAATTTGTTCGGATTTAGGGACAGAACATTTTTCGTCCCTATTAGGGACGAATTTTAGAAATAACATCCTAATTATATCCCGAGTTGGGACGTAATATTGCCTGTCCCTATTAGGAACGAAATTAGAGACGAATTACAGAAATTGAAAATTTTCCGTCCCTAAATCCGTCTCTAATAGGGACAGAATAGTTTTCCTTCTCAAAATCCGTCCCTATTAGAGACAGAATTTATTTCATCACTAATTCCGTCCCAAATAAGAACAAATTGTTTTTCTGTCTCTAAATTCGTCCCAATTAGAGACGAAATATTTTCCGTCTCTAAAATCCGTCTCTAAAATCCGTCCCTAATTCAAACTTTTTTAGTAGTGTTAGAAATTTCATCGAAAATATGATCTTTCTTAGTATTGTGAAAAGTACATAAATTTTTTTTTTAGAAATTTTAAATCTAATTTAATTTGTAAAATATAATAATTATATTAATCTAAAAAAAAGATAGAATGATAAAAATATCTCATTAACCTTCCATTTTTCTCCCTTCAATTTGTAAAAGGATAAGATGGGAAGAGTGTTCTCTCATCCT